TTACATGAGGTATGTCACTAGCTTTATTTCTTGGAGCAAGTCCTTTCAAGTTTGTGAGTTGCCGATAGAAAGCATTTAAAAAAAAATTTGAAGTGAAAGGAATTAGCTCAGACCATTGGTTTTTACAGTTCATCGTAATATCATTTTGAGAACAAAACCATAATTTATGTGGTTTGAAGATCTTGTATTACTTTTGGACAACATATAGAGCTATTAGCTATTTCTGTAATTCTTTTTTTTCTCTTGCATTTTTCTTACGGTGCAAAAAAAATTAAATATTAATAAACGATCTCACTCTTACGATCGCTGATTATCGACGTTGACCGGTTGGCGTTGACCGGTCAACGTCCGCCCGGGCTGGGATGGCGGGCTGGGTCCGTCCCTGGTTCAATTGTTCGATTTCAAGTAGTTCTTATGAGAATTTAACTGAATCAAGTATCAACAGAAATCCTAAACATAGAATCGTAGGTTTCAAGTCTAATTATGGAATCGGAATCGCATCAAAACTGACTACTAGTTGTACTTGGTTAGATTCAATTCTTGGTATTGACTTTTTTTAGAATTTATTTAATAGTTCACAGAGTTTGACAACACAAACTTTATAGATTAATAATCTGGTTATCGTAAAACAAGCAGTAAGCACTAATATTACCAGTACATGCGTATACTTTGTATAGTGTACCCAACAAATTACATTTTCGCTTAAAAAACCGAATTTTTAATTATTTATATTGTTAGTTTAAAAAATAATTAATATTATTTACAATATTTGAATTTTTATAAAATGGACGTAAATTTTAGAATTCATTGCAAGTGAATGTAAATATATAATGGCCATTTTATTATGTTTATGTTGACTGTAAACAAAATAGAAATCTTTTCCTTTATTTTTTGTTCCTGTTCCTTTTAATTTCTAGTTTCTATCATATATAACGTCGTCGTATATTTTCATTCCTTACGTAAATTATCATAAGCGATGTACATGCTCCACGAGGAATGTTCGTATGTACCTCATCTCCATGTAGATCGAGAGTCTGATTTGCACAGTCTCTAACCCTAGGTGCCTCTATAGTTGGATGGCTCACCACAGATGGTGGATAAAAAGGTTGTGCACTGATGCTAATTTCGTAAGCTAATGTTCGTGCTTGTGCTGCCTCGTTGCTGAGTGGCTCGATTCTGATTGTGGGACTACCTCGAAAATAACGGTAAAATCATCGAGATCGATGCAATCCATAAAAAACTCATTTATCTCATTATATTTTTTAATTTCTAATTTATTCAAGCAAATTTTCTATTTAGACTTATTTTATTTTTGATGAAGACAGGACATGCATGGATGTGAGAGGGAGAAAAGTAGCTCAGTTTCATTATTTTGTTTGTTTCTTTGTTTTTTTTTTTTTGCCTTCCGATTGTGCTACACAAATAAGTTCAAAAAAGGAAGGATATGTGTCGACACATGATTGAATAGTTTGAAAAAAAAAAATAAAAACACAACACCCAATTATTATATATCACATCACCATGTCTCTCCATCCCTGTCCTTGAGCTTGTCCAATGAGTATTATTCTTTTTTTTTTTTAGTATGTTTTTATGTCCTTTTTCATTTATTACTTACTAGTGGGTCTCTTTTAATAATTAGTAGTAGTCTATGGTCTTAAGTGCAATTTTTATTATCTAAGTAAAAGATCCATAGATTTATCTTTGATTGAATTTAAAAAAACTTGAGTTTGGAATGATTTTCAACATTCATTTATCTAATTCTCGATATTTGTATTCAAATCAACGAGTTTTGTTGATGTTGTATTCTTCACTACCATCGCTACATCAATTATACTACAATGCTGCTAAGGACGGTGTGACACCCTCCCCTGATAGCATACTCACAATAGGATACGCGTTTTTGACTTTTTTTTTATTCACATAGATCCCACTCACATGTGAGTGTTGGTCAAGGGGAAATAATTATAGTTTCTTCAGTAATGAACTATATTCACATGCGCACGTTGAGGAACCAATATTAATCACTTAGAAATGTCACCAAGCCATATTTTATTCATTCCATAGCAGTACAACAATTAGAGTAATTATTTGACCGAGACAAACTGTGAAAACAACAAACACACAGAGCGAGCGATATGGCTTAGTGAGACCTCCATCTGATGCAGACAGAGAATCTATCCATATCAGGGTGCCTTGAGATGGTGAGATTCAATATCCTTTGCAAGTTTAATGCAAAATCCCAACAAAGTGATTGGATCTTCAACGTCGTCATTTAATTTCTCGTACTCAAGAGTCCATGTTATCAAATCAATGTCACCATCAGTCTCAACATGGAAACTGACTTTGAAGGCCTTCAATACCTTCAGGAGATCTCCTTCAATCAACTTGAATGTCACTGACCTTTTTGCCTCGTCAATGGCTTCAATTACCTCTTTCGCTACTTGCGGTTTCCCATCTACATTTATTCAAATTATTGCAAACTTATTACAAAAGAATGTTTTGAATCCCCAGTTTTGGAATCTTGATTGCATATATGATGCAACTTACATGTAGCTTATAGTGTCTTTCACAACACGATCTAGATTTGAGCTTTACTTTTAGTGTTCAATAAAATATTGGAAGGAAAAAATAAAACCCTAACTTTAAGTTTATTGGCACTAAAAATGGCCTAGATGTCAACCTTCGATGAGAAAATAAATTTGGCAAACTTGATGGAGCGTGTTGCAGAGATATACAAGTAAATTTGTCCTATATCTGAGTTGTGAGAAATTTTTTTTATCCTTGTAATAGAGAAAGAGGGTTGAGTGACTCATTTTTTTCTGTTTCTGGAGCTATATGTGCGATTATTATCATGATTAACACTGTAAGCTTACCATGAGTGTAGTTCCAGAAGTAGACAGAGCCTACAGTTCCCCATTCTCCTTCATGCAAATCACATCCTTGAATAGTAGTAGGACTGATTTTGGGTATTTGGTGTGGTGTGTACCTAAAAAGATCATGAAATACATCTCCTCCAGCCCTCATTTCTATTTGGGCAGTGAGTTTACCCTTAAGACCCATTTTTTTTCTTTTTTCTTTCGTGAAAAGTAGTGTGAGAAGAGCACTCAAACCTTTCTAATCTATTTATAGCTGTGTTGTGAAGATGAAGATCGTGAGTTCACGTTGCCTTTATTCAATTATTATCTGTAACTGCTACTTGCGCAGTTTTATAATGTTCAATCATTATGTGTTATCAACGAAAAATAAGATAAATTTGATTAAATATGCAGATATAACGTTTAACAGCTGGTCTGGATTAAGACGACGATCAAGGTAGAGCTTTTTGATACTGTTAAAGGGAAGTACATAATTAAGCTCAACTGCAATATTGACTTCTTTTATGGTTGGAAGGCAGCATACGTGTCGTAGAAACTTTTCAAGAATTTCTAGTTATCTGTCATCTTTCAGCGAAGAGATTCTTAATCCGTCATTGAGTCCAGGTAGAATTTATAACCCCGTTTAGACTTCGAAGAGATTCTTAATCCGTTTAGACTCCGTCATTAGTTTCGTACACACTATCTCAAATATCCTCCTTATTATTATTTATCTTCAAAGAATTCATGTGAATGTAATTTAGGTCTTAATATCCAATAGCAAGCGAAGTGGCTTGCTTGGGAGTAGTGGTGTCAACGAGCCGAGCCGAGCCGAGTCGGGCCTGGCAAAAAAAAATGAGGCTTGGCCCGAGCTTTTGGCCCGAGCTTTAGCGGGTCGAGCCGGCTCGATTTTT